TGCGTGCGCGTGTGTGTGTGTGAATATGGTTTCTGTTATTTTGTTTGTTTATCCGTTTTTTGTATTGTCAATCTTATTAGGAACAGCTATTGGTTCTGCAATTATTCTAAACAATAGATATGGCAACATTTATAATAATTTTGACTCCATTATACTTCGAAGTTAGAGCCGGCAGGGTAGCTTACGTCGTTATCTACTTATCTATTTCTCTGTAGTTGTGTGGTCCTATTTTGTGTCAACGGTTCTTACCTAATGATTTTAATGCTGTGTTTACATAGCAAAAAGTCGTACTCTACGGCTTTCTCTATGTGGCTTACAGCTATTATTACCCCAATAGACCCCAGAACACTGAGAAGCATTCTGGGCTTCTCGGGAAGCATGCAACGCTTTTGACAGGCGCTAAAACACTAACGTACTGACATGATCTTTCTCTGGAGACTAATCAGTACGATACTTCAGAATTACAAAGGTTTGTCCAACATTTTTGGCCGTTTTTAGTTACGAATACCATGAAGTCAGAAACCGACTTTTCTGTCGGTTCGATCAAAATCGTAAGATTAGTCAGAGTCGTTATCAAGATATTCAAAGAATTGCATAAGAAGAAGCACGACATGTTGTGAAACTCAAAATACATAAAATTTCTCAAAACTAGGTACTAGGGTAGCAACTAGCCTACTGACGCCACAGTGTTGAAGGCTCCATTAGCTCAGAAGGTATCATGGCGGACTACAAAGCAGATTTTTCAAGGCGGTCAACTCATCTGGCTTGGTCCTGTCGGAGATGGACGTTAAATTCGTAGGCCCTGCTTTTTAGATAACCTAATAGTGTTTATATGGGCGTTAAGCTCATACACTTTCTTACTCACATCAGCGTGCACTGCTATTGTCCCGTCTGTATCTTGCTCCCACGTCTGTGGGTTGCCAATCCTCTCACACATTTAAGCGATTATCGAGTGCAAAGCACTTCCGTGACGCCATGCCCCACTCGAAAACGAACAAAACGAACGTCTTTGGCTAGTGTGAGCATAGGTTTAAAAATGTTTTTAAAAAAGTGATAGCTCTACAATGCTTCGAAAGTTGAACTATTATTGATTATTTCAGGCTTGTATACTACACCCATAGATTGTAGTCTGCATTCCCTGAGGCACAATAATGCTTCAGAGGAGTCTTGTGTTTGTCGTTTTGTTTAAATGTTTGTTCAACACTTGCTATTACAACGGTGACCCTTACCAGGCAGGTAAAAGGCCTCAAACAAGCATTAATACGGAAAATGTGTAATAATAGATTATGTGTAACCAACTTTCTGAAAAAATTCAAAGTATTTGATCAGCATCTTGAAATGAAAATGTTTAAACTACCGGTATTTTAATTTAAAAAATTTGAACGTACTGAACTTAAAAAA